AACCCTGAACCCTGAACCCTAAACCCTAAACCCTAAACCCTAGTTTAGGAGAAGCTGGGCTCCCAAAGTTGGCACCTCGCAGTCTTCCTTCGCAGGCGTCGGCAGCTGGGCGGGAGAGCCCCGTGTGGTCCCATCCAGAACCCCCGACCTTGGGGTTTAGAGACCCTAAACGGCTTAGGGTTTGGGCTTTAGGGTTTGGGGTTTAGGGTTTGGGGTTTAGGGTTTAGGGTTTAGGGTTTAGGGCGAACATTTAGGGTCTATTAGGGTTTAGGGTTTAGGGTTTTGGGGGCGAACATGCCGAACTCAGGCTTCGGATGCTCCACTCGGCGACGAAAATTCCCTGGCCCGACTCCATCGGGCAGCAGGGAAAGGCTAATTTCTATTCCCCGTGGGGCGGACGTGCGAGTACCTCTGATTAGGGTTGAGGGTTTAGGGTTCAGGGTTTAGAGTTCAGGGTTTAGGGTTTAGGAATTGGTTTAGAGTTTGGGGTTGAGGGCTCCTCTCCCTAGGGTTTAGGGTTTTAGGGTTTAGGGTTTAGGGTTCAGGGTTTAGGGGTTAGGGGTTAGGGTTTAGGGTTTAGGGTTTAGGGCCTTAGGTTTTAGGGCCTTAGGGTTTAGGGCCTTAGGGTTTAGGGTTCAGGTTTAGGGTTTAGGGTTCAGTGCACATGGACCGTGTGGGTCTGATCTTGAAACTGCTCGGGTTTACGGCTGAGTTCCGGGCCACTGGGGTTGTCTGCATTCTGACTCAGGATTCCGAAACTCAGCTGACAGAATAAGGATGCTATACAATTTACTCCAAAGGCCTAGTTGTGGTAGCTTAATATACGTTCCTTTCGCAAAACCCAGTCCCTAAACCCTAGCCCTAAACCCTAAACCCTAAACCCTAAACCCTAAACCCTAAACCCTAAACCCTAAACCCTAAACCCTAAACCCTAAACCCTAAACCCAAAACCCCAGTGAGCCAGGGATCAACCTCGCGGGCTTCTTCCCAAGTATTTCTGCTTTAGGCTTAGGGATCGGGTAGACTAGTGGCCGAGGAGGGTTTAGGGTTTAGGGTTCAGGGTTTAGGGTTTACGCTTGAGGGCTTAGGGTTTAGGGTTTAGAGTTGAGGCGAGTTACTTAGGTATGGCAAGGTAGATAGAGGGGTTGCATGGGGGCATACGATTAAGGCTCCTTTCTTGGGGTCCATCCTTACATCCCCAAAACAACCCTAAACATAAGACCCTAAGCTTGGGATGTTCCCCCTTATACTAGCAGTCCCTAAACCCTAAACCCTAAACCCTAAACCCTAAACCCTAAACCCTAAACCCTAAACCCTAAACCCTAAACCCTAAACCTAAGCCTGCATCCCCGAACCTAGGAACGAAAGAGGGTGCCCAAGTTGCTGTTTGAAGGGTTCGATTGAGCTGAAGTTTTACTGTGAGGACGGCAAAAAATGGGAGCTTAGGGTTTAGGGTTTAGGGTTTTAGGGTTTTAGGGCTTTAGGGCTTAGGGTTTAGGGTTTATGGTCCTGGTTTCTAGTCGGCGGTGTGGTGTCCACCTTGTTTGCACAGGGTTCGCACGTCCTCGGTGCAGTGCACGGATGCAGACCCTCACATCTCGACGAAGGACTCGTCATCGTCGTCCTCCTGAGTCCCAAGCTTTACAAGATCCCAAAACCAAAACATTGGAGTTTAGGGTTTGGGGTTTGGGGTTTAGGGTATAGGGTTTTGGGTTTCGGGTTTAGGGTTTATGGTCCTAGTTTCGAAACTGAACGCAAATTCTGCCCGCGTTGTAGGGCACGGGGGTCATTCATCACAGGTTGCTCCCATGAGTAGCCACGGCACGTACAGCTACATGCACTATGTCGGCCGCTTCGATGAAACATTCTGCCCCTACGGAGCGAAGCCTAAAGACAGGGCTTTAAGGTTTAGGGTTTAGGGTTTTGGGTTTAGGGTTCAGGGGTACAGAGGCTGATTGCCGCGTATGAAGGTGTCATGTGCGCGTGCACTTCATCAAGAAATCTCAGTGGCGAAGCCTTGGTGCTATTGACCAGGTTTCCCCGCAATTATAGGGCTCAAAAGGGAGGGGTGTTCAAGGGCGGTGTGTAGCCCAAGGTCACAAGGTTCACTAATACTCCCTACTACTCCCCAAGGCCGCCTAAGCTTCCCCAAGGTTCCCTAGGTACCTACCGCCCATGAACCCTCCTTTCTTACGGACCATGTAGTGCAACCTAGGGCAACAAGGATTCTATCAGGTTTAGAAGAGATGCCAAGCCCGACACCCTAAACCCTCCGAAGGATTCCCTGACACCTGACCGGTACATTCGTAGTACGGGTAGTACCTTTTGGTGTCCTCCGTTTGAGGCCGTGGTACTATGTAGGGGACACCCTCATTTAGATTATACGTGGTGAGTTCGTTAAAATATGGTCCTTTTCGGGGTCCTGATTATCAGGCGGCACCACGTATTTAGGGTGCCCAAAAAAGGACCGTAATGTAGAGAAGCCCGTGGTATAGAGGCCTGGTAGCTCAGTGTTTTAAGCGATCTCTTTTAGGGTTTAGGGCTTCGGGTCCCATAAACCCTAAACCCTAAACCCTAAACCCTAAACCCTAAACCCGAAACCCTAGAACCCTTAGGTGACCTGCACTTTAAAGTGGACCACGGGGGCCTTCCTGCGCCCTTGAGCGAGTGTGGCAGGCGAAGTCGAACTCTATTTGACAATAGCGTTTAGGGTTTAGGGTTTAGGGTTTAGGGTTTAGGGTTTAGGGTTTAGGGTTTAGGGTTTAGGGTTTAGGGTTTAGGGTTAGCCTTGAGTTCGTGCCTATATACTGTATGAGTACATGGCATCTTAGGGCCAGTTGAAGGGTTTAGGGTTTAGGGTTCAGGGTTCAGGGTTTAGGGTTTAGGGTTTAGGGTTTAGGGATATTGCTGAGGGTTCAGGGTTACGTTTGGAACCCAAATGCTGCACCAGGCCTGAACCCGAAACCCTGAACCCTAACGAAACTTTTGTAACCCTAAACCCTAAACCCTAAACCCTAAACCCTAAACCCTAAACCCTATGTAGAGACCAGCTGCTGCATCGTAGGAAGGGCTGGAATGGCCAATGGACTGGCTCGAGCTGACCATCCTCTCCAGGGATTGGTTTAGGGTTTCGGGTTTAGGGTTTAGGGTTTAGAGTTAGGGTTAAGGGTTTAGGGTTTAGGGTTTAGGGTTTAGGGTTTAGGGTTTAGGGTTTAGGGTTTAGGGTTTAGGGTTTAGGGTTTAGGGTTTAGGGTTTAGGGTTTAGGGTTTAGGGTTTAGGGTTTAGGGTTTGCGGTTTAGGGTTTAGGGTTTAGGGTTTAGGGTTCAGGGTTTAGGGTTTAGGGTTCAGGGTTAAGGTTTAGGGCTGAGGGTTTAGGGTTTAGGGTTTAGGGTTTAGGGTTTAGGGTTTAGGGTTTAGGGCTACTAACTTCAACAGAAGCTCTTGAACAGGAAGGAGGAAGTCCAGCCTCGAGGGTGCAGCTGGCCGCTGCGCAGCGGTAGGCGTCAAGCCGCTCCTGTTCATGCCCTCACTATCTTAGTTAGGGTTTAGGGTTTAGGGTTTAGGGTTTAGGGTTTAGGGTTTAGGGTGTAGGGTTTAGGGTTTAGGGTTTAGGGTTTAGGGTTTAAGGTTTAGGGTTTAGGGCTTAGGGCTTAGGGTTTAGGGTTTAGGGTTTAGGGTTTAGGGTTTAGGGTTTAGGGTTTAGGGTTTAGGGTTAGTTCAAGGGGGGTATGTAACCCAAGGATATATACCTAATTTCCTCCCTATATACCTAAGTAGCCCCTAAGGCCTAAGTAACCCTAAAAAAAACCTCTAAGTTCCCTTATAAGGACTCCAGAACCCTCTTGAAAGATCCTCTTGAGCCCAAGATCGGGGAACTTGTTCTAATTAGAGCCCGTGTCCCGGCCTAGCTCAGGACGTAACAGAAGCTTGAGGGACAGCTCGAGACGGTAAACAAGCCGCGCGAAGAATTACTGTTAGAAGCCACGCTGAATTTCCCAAAAGCCGTGACGCAAATTTATCCCTTACACGCCAACAGTGTCATCTGCTTCGACCCTTTAGGGTTTCAGCTGGCTTGGATACTTTTATCTGCTTTCAGAATTTCGGGTCGGCTCACCAATATCTCCATTAAGGGAGACGGTAAACAAGCCCACGCAGCTGTTTGCTCAAGTGTTGCAAGCTCTCTCGTGCAGGAGCATGGGATTGAACGCGCCGGTAAATGGCACTTGCTGCTGGATTTTTTTCGCAGCTCTCATGCAAGCGCCTATCGCACTCGTCACCGCAGCTCTGGTGCCGAGACGGTGAAAGGAAAGGCATCTGAACAGCCGCACGGCTGCGGACTTCTCCAGCTTGGTGTCGAGTGTCGAGTGTCGACGCTGCCTTGCAGGCAAGCAGCTCTATATATTTCAGGCCGAAACCGAAAAACTTCATGATGTCTTAAGCCTGACTTCTGATTCAGTAGGCAAGCATGAAGGTGCACTCGTACGAAGTTCTTTTTGCACCATGCGGCAACTGGCCCCTCTACCGCGTGGCAGGCTTGTGGCCAAGCACTGACGACACAGCCTGTGAGGCTCGAGGGAAAACACACCTCCGCCTGACAACTTTGCATCATTTACGGCATTCTGTGACGAGATCTGACAGGCTCTGCGATGAGCTTCTCGTCCTCCTCCATACAGCAGCTGCGTTTCTTCGGAGACGCAGCTGCCAATGGAACATGCCAGTGCCGTATGTCCAACAACTGTTGGGTTGCGAAAGCGTGTGGGCACGCTCCCCGCCACACATACAAAAAACACGTGCGCCGCACACTGGAATCTTTGCAAATGCAGAGGCAGAAGCGGGGCCACATCTCCGTAAAGTTTTGCCATTGGATCCTGTGAGGCGCTGCAGCATTGTCCACTGGCAGGAGGATCTTGTCGGCTAGGAACTTCTGGATGACTGCCTCATCAGGGACTGAGAGTCATTCGGTCTGACTCGGCAGGAATCGTCTCGATTTGACTTAGTCTTACTCTGTCTTGGCAAGAAATTGCAAACCTATGAGCTGAGCCTGGGTGGTCCTGCATTTCACCTGGGTGATCATGTTGTTCATCACGTCGACTGGCACCTTGGTGGGCTTGCCGATGGTTATGCAAACGAAGGTGTGGTCGCCATGAACCGCACGTGGAGCAGCTGCTCCACCAGCTAAGGAAGCCTTGTGAAGAATCGTTGGAATCGACGGGATCCAGAACTGGCGACCGCCAGTTCGCCTCACTGTCGTGCCAGTGCTATTCAGCATCCAGCCGTCGGGGCCCGATGGTGCATCCAAGGCGATGTGTCCAGGAGGCGCAAGCAGCGAATGCTTCGCGCGGTCAGTCCGCTCTTCGCCAGGAGAGAGCGGAGCGGAAAAAATACTCATCGCCCTTTCGCAAGCATCCGCTAGAGACATGTGCGTCTTCAATGGACCTGTTGACTTGATGAAGCGCTTGAACTTCCGCCACATCATCTCGATGCCTGCACATAGCCGGAAACACGCATTGGACATGCACGAAAAAAGAAAAGAGAAAGTAGTGCGACTGCAACGAAAGGCCGAGCCACTCTGCTGGGAGGCAGGATGCCCGCTCATGATCTTCGAGCCAGAATGCCAGCTGGCGGCCCAGAGATCTTCATCATTGACTCTCTTCTTGAACAGGTATTGCTCCTTGAAGTAGCTGCACCACTCTTCCTAACAGGGCAAACGGCAAACAGGCATTCCGAGCCGTGCTTTGGCCCGTCTTCCAGCCCGTATTCCCAAAACCCGTGCTCAGAACCGTATTCGAGAGCGCATTTGAGCCCTATTCGGAACCCTAGCACGTCGGGGCGACAATATCTACGCGTAGCCCCAGCCATATTTGGAAATTATATGCCGGAATGGCTTGCCAGGCAATCCACGAGTTCTTTGACATAACGTCCTCGCCATGGAATTCCTGGCTTCTGGTCAGGATCGTGGACCACCACACGCTGAACATGTGTTGCGTAGGGAGGAAGACAGACTCCGTGATGTACGCTGTCCACACCGGCAGCGGCAATGTGCACAGATGTGGCGGCGCCTTCTGCCTTCGAGTCCTCTGTTGAATGACTGCCTACTCCATTAAACCACACCAACATGCCACGACGAAACAATCTCCAAGTTCGGATTTACAAGAGTTGATTTGAGATTGTAGGACTCGTCGACCCCGGCACTCCTGCCGCGGCCACGTCCCGTTCCGGCACGTCCTCGCGCCGGCGGTGGATCGAGGCTGGGCCGGCGCGGCTGCTGTCGCTGCAGCTGCACTTTTTCCAATTCTGTGGTTGCGACGCAAATTGCGTCGCATGTGTTCTAAACCTTGTACGACTTTGCAGCGGCCTCCTGTTCCTTGAAACGTGGATGCGAATATATCAGTCAGACCATCGAACCAATCGACATGAATTTGTTTTGGATTTGGCAGATTGCGGCGCGTGACCTCGTCGGCCAGCGCAGAAGCGAGCCCAGCGTAGCTGTGCTGCGTCTCGCTGCCGGGCTGGAGGGACAAACAGAGCGGCCACGGACTTCTTCGCCACCTGCAGGGACGATGCCGTAAAAAGCGATTTTGCCTAAACCCAAGCGCGCAGTCTCAATTAGATTATTCTCTCGGCGAAGCAAACGGGACCTTGAACCAAGTTTTCTGTGAACCACGACGCAAATCATGGTGACGGAAATGTTCATGTGGTTCAACTTGTACGTTGTGTCAGTCGTGACACACCATGCCTGAGACATGACAAGGGCACAACAGTAAAGAACATCAGCAATGGTTGCGATCTTACTCACGGCTTCAGAAGAAAAATATTTGCCAACCAATCGAGGCACAGGGTTCCGGAGTGTCTCGGGCAGAAGGGCCTCGAGCTCCTCCCAGAACTTCGGAACCAGCATCTTCCACGAGAAGTGCGGTCTCGTGGAATGGTCAACCACATGGACTATGGAGCTGGGATCGGACCGTGCGGCAGCCCAAGCTTCGAACTGAGGCTGCGAATCCAAAAAGTATTTCGTGGCAGCTCCCACTTGCAATCGGCGCTTGCGCAAAATTGAACTCAGATGCTGCGGCTGCATGCGCTTCTCCGGCGCCAAGCACATGGCGACGGCCGCCGGCGTCACTGGCAAGCCCCGAGCTGCCAGACCGTCTGCTTCGCGCAGAACCGCATCTCGATCCTCAGCTGTGTAGCCTGCAAAGCGGCCATCGGCGCTAGCTCGGAGAGGCCTCGGATCTCCGACACAGTCGCCAGCAGACAAACGGCCATCCCTTGCGTGGCAGCCGGTGCATCTATGACAACATCCTGTTGTCATCCATTGCCCTTTCGGCGTCAGTTCGGGGGCGCGCAAGTCGCCCACCTTTGTATTGGTTTTCTCCTCCCATGACCGCACGGCCGCACGCAAGTCGGCGCACGGATCTACGGTAGAAAGCTGGCCGGGGACTGCGTGGTCTTCCAGGCGCTTGTAAGCAAACTGCCGCCGTGGCCGGCCCATGGGCTACCATCACTTTGTCTACATATCTTGTCCATGCATATGCGAGCATGAAGAAATTCATGCAAGATCAGCACACCCTTCAGGGTGATAAAACCTTGCTCACCACATCCGGAGGGTGCTTTGCCTTTCGGGATGTTCAGGGATTAGCGTTTAGGGTTTCGGCTTTCGGGATTACCCAAAAAGTTCTTCCATAAACCCCGAAACCCCAAGCCCAAACTCTCGAGCCCAAACCTCTGCTCGGCACACTCCATGCGCACCCCAAATTGGCAACAGCATCCGTGGGCTCGGGGTTGGGCCTCTACGGCAGAACCTAAACCCTAAACCCTAAAGCCATGATGCAGACCTGTAATCACGGGACATTCAGGAACGGAGCGCAGGTTCTTAAGGACTATAAAGGAACTTGGTGATGAAAAAACCTACCCCTTTCCATCATGGCCTTCCGCGCGGCATGCCCAAGCAAATTTTACGCCGCAAGATCACCGCCTGGCGAGCGCGCCCAAATCAGGGCGTATTGTTTCCAGCTACAGGACTATAGGAATCTTTGAACGACCCATTTTCCTGCTGCCTTACGGGCCTTACTGCGTTGGTCATCCGTGCTATCCGTGATAACGCAAGGCTCCCCAGGCATGTTTATGCAGCCGATATTCGCTTTGCTGCTGAGAGTTGCAGAGCTCTCTAATTTAGGGGCCAACAAGCCTGAGGAGCTTGCCGCTCACGATCCGGAGAGCTCAAACATGCACATCACACACCAGGATCCGCAGAGGTCCTCACAAGCTCTGCTCCTGGGAGCAGGAATCCTCGACCGAATCGCCTAAAAGTTCTAGCGCGGATGCGGCCGCCCCGGGATTTCATTGCCGACGTTTGCAGCTCCTGAGGCATGTCCACACTACTGCTGCTCAGTTGGGTTTTACGGACTGCAGAACGGCATTCGTCCGTGCTTTATTTTTGTAAAGGAAGGAGCCGGTGTGTTACAAGAATGCCAGATGGGTTTTTGTTTGTAAGACTGACTGGAAACCATGGGCAAGCATGCGACCGGGCCTCGTTCCTGACTATCTTCTGCTTCTGCGCCTACCAATGCCAGACGTGTTGCGCGAAACGCGCGGAGCCAACAGCCAGCACTGGGAGACTGCGCAAATGAGAGTCGAGAAAACAAAAGCGTCCTTCCGCACTCTGGAGGCCGCCCTTGCATGACAGCACCGCCGGGCTGCCGCCATTGTGTTGCGTGAAAACCAAGGCGCCTTCCCGATCCATACATTCGCGAAGCGCGTTGGTCCCAAAGGTTGCTTTCTCTTGAAGGCCTCGGACGGTCATCTGCCAGAAAACAGCACAACTGGAGGGCGTTGCATTCCCGACCTCTGCATTATCGCGTCGCTCGTGCTCGGCTTGCTTGTTGGCCCGATGCTTCAGACTCTGGGCCCTTGCAGGGTTGGCTCTGTTCAAACACAGGCTTAACGCGCGAAACGCAGAAATACATGCCTGCGACTCCGAAACAACGGAGGTGGGCACCTCCATGCAATAAGTGAGTGCTTTGTGGGGATCTTTGTGGGAGGCGCGTGCGTTAAGTCCACCTCGCTGTCAGCCCCTTGAGCGAGCACATTGCCATCCTGACAAATGTCAATAGAATTTTGGCTGGCGCAGGCGCTCATACTTTCGACTTTTCCCAGGATTCCTGGGCCGCCAGAAGCGCAGACATGTCAGGCTCCTGCAGCTGCAGGGCGCACCATTGCACAAAAATGGAACTAGCAGGAGCCAGGCCTTTGTCCAAGTTGCAGCCCCTACACGCCTGCGACGCAACAGGACTGCAATAGTCAGTAGCAAAGCAGCCTCGCCCTGCCTGAAGAACACAAAACGCGTACCGGGCGCACACTCCAAGTCAGGAGCAAACTCCGGCCGGGCTTTCAAGGTATGCCCGGCTTTGAGCAACTGCTCACACGCTCTGTGAGAAAATGCTCAGGCCACTGGACTCTCACAGAACCTGCTCAGGAGGAAACACTAGAATTCAATACTATCAATACTAGAGGATCGTGCTTGCAGGCCTTCCAGGATGTGCAAGAGTGCAAGGCCATTCAGGTGGAGCCACTGCGTGCCTACGCAGTGGCTCACTACAAATGAGCCCATGCTACGACAAATAAGCCCATGCTAGGACATGCACCATGCTGCGGCAAGTGAGCTGCCTAGCCATGTCACAGTTGCTTGGACACATGTGATACTCGTAAGACGATGATGGCATGGCTTCCGACCTGCCTCGCATTTCCTCAATCGTGCCGGGAGTGCTTGCATTGCCATGGCTCCAAGAGAACAAGACATGGCTTCAAGAGTGAGGAACTGCAGGACTTGCGCAGACATGGCTGCAAGAGTGAGGAACTGCAGGACTTGCACAGTCCGACGTGGACATGCTTGGCGCCATGGTCTGAAACTTAGCGCTGCTTGAGAAGAGCTGGCACCGCTTGCAAGAAACTGACACGGCTTGGCAGCCTACTTTGAGGGACAGGGCGGTTTCGGGTTTCGGCGTTTAGGGTTTAAGGCCCGAGGCGGCGGTCTTTGCATCGAAGCTTCCTCCTGAGCACTCGCCTCCTCACACCAACTGGAGTCTAAGTGTGTTCGGATGTAATCCCCTCCCGCCCATGTTCAACCTCCCCTACCCCCCCCCCCCTCCTCCTCCCCTTGAAATATCCCCCATATCCATAACAGTGGGAGTCTTTTAATGTTAAGGGATGTTAAGGGGTAGGGTGTGCCTAGAATTAGGGGGAAGGGGTTAGTTTAGAATCTCGAGCCTTACGCCTTAAACCCCGAAAGCCAGCTGCGTGCCTGTCAGCACCCCATGCAGCTGTCCGAGCCAGGCCGGGCCAAAATAGGTACACATCCACGACAAACAAGGTGCCTCCGAATTTCGAAGGTGTTGAGGTGGTTTAGGGTTTAGGGTTGGGGTTTAGGGTTTGGGGTTTGGTGTTTAGGGTTTCGGGTTTAGGGTTTCGGGTTTAGGGCTCCCAACTGGCATGAACAGGCAGGGGGGGGGGGGGGGGACAGCCCTGAAGAATGAGAGGCACTTGAGACATAGTTGAGGCTAGAAGGGAGGGGGGGGGGGGGGTTGACAGAGTTACAACGTTTCACTTCAGACTTCGCTTTAGGGTTAAACATTTGGGGTTACTTGGCTTAGGGATTAGGGCTTGGATGCTCACACGTAAATCCTCAACCCTAAAACCCTAAACCCTAAACCGTAAACCGCAAAATAACTGAAAGTTCTTCCTCTTGCGGACTCAGGTGCCTAGGGCAATGCCAGGCAGATAGCTGGACTCGTCCGTCATGAACATGGTGATGCCTAGGTTGGTGGTTTCGGGTTTAGGGTTTAGGGTTTAGGGTTTAGGGTTTAGGGTTTAGGGTTTAGGGTTTAGGGTTTAGGGTTTAGGGTTTAGGGTTTAGGGTTTAGGATTTAGGGTTTAGGGTTTAGAGTTTAGGGCTACCTAAACCCGATATCCCCCATCAAAGCCCCCAAGCATCCTGTGGACAAATACTTCTGAAACAGGGTTCCTCCCCGCCCCCCTCCCCCGCAAGCCTCCCCCCAAAAAAGCCGGGAAATAGACGAGTTGTCCGTAAACCCTAAACCCTAAACCCTAAACCCTAAACCCCAAACCCTAAAACCCACAAGGCGGTGCCAGGAAGCTAAAAGGAAACCAGAGCATCAGCGCCATGAGCGCTTCGAAACATGCCTCAGCTTCTGCTCATCTCTTAGGGTTTAGGGTTTAGGGTTTAGGGTTTAGGGTTTAGGGTTTAGGGTTTAGGGTTTAGGGTTGAGGGTTTAGGGTTGAGGGTTCAAGGTTCAGGGTTCAGGGTTCAGGGTTCAGGGTTTAGGGTTTAGGGTTTAGAGTTTAGGGTGAGCAAAAGGGGCTTCGTGAAATCCAAGAACCCAGTAAGCAAGAGCTTTCAAGGCTTACTTGTAGGGTGAGCTGCACAGCCTCAACACTTCAACATCTCAATTTCATGGAATGGGGCACGAGTCCCAAAAAAGGGAACCTATCCGGAACGGGTATCTTGAGCGACTGCCCTGTACCTTTCTATCCCTATACCCTAAACCCTAAACCCGAAACCCTAAACTCCAAAACCCGAAACCCGAGGTGAGAGGCCCAATTAAACCAACCCGAACCCCTCAACCTCAGATGGAGACTTCCGAAACTAGGGGTACCTGATTGGGGTCATGATGATAAGGGGATCCGATTATTTTGGGGGTCCTACTATTTGGGGATCTATTTTGGGGGTTCCCCTATCTTCGTAAACCCCAAATTCGTCACCCTAAACTCTAATTTAAACCCTAAACCCTGAACCCTGAAACGTAAACCCTAAACCCCAGATTCGCCGGCCTGCGCACAAGCCAGGAGAACTGGGTGGAAGCAGCTACCGAGGTCCACTCCGGCTTTGCCGATGAGCACCTTGAGTTGTTTGGGGCGGTTTGGGGTTTAGGGTCTAGGGTTTAGGGCTTAGGATTTAAGGTTTAGGGTTTAGGGTTTGGGGTTTATAGAAATTGTATAGGGTTCGTGTCCGGAATTTCGACCGAAAGCTTTGACCGAAAGTTATGCCCGAGTTTTCACCGAACGTTTTTCGTTTTGCTTTGGGTGAAACTTTGACCGAAAGATTTGGGTGGGCTTGGCCGGGTTTGAGTGCTGGGGCTGCTGGGGCCGCTGCTGGATCTGCTGCTGGGGCTGCCGGGGCTGCTGGGGCTCGGGCTGGGGCTGGGGCGGGCTGGGGCTGGTGGGGCTGGGGCTGCGCTTTTGGATTGCAGTTTCAATCTACTCAAACTCGGCTTGTCAGCAGGCACTTTGGATGAATTGACTTAAGCTCTGCTGGTCAGCTGTTTAGACAAATAATTTGGAACCCAGAGGTTTAAGTGAATTGAAGATTTGGCCTTCCGAGGGAGCTTTGAATTTATCAACTTAAGCTCGGCTTGTCAGCTGTTTAGACAAATAACATGGGACATTCGCGATGATACCACGTACAATTTCTATTTATCCTGGTCTTGAGGGTTTAGGGCTTAGCGTTTAGGGTTTAAGGTTTAGGGTTTAGGGTGTGGGGATGCAACCTCTACGGCTGGCAAAGGGACCGCAGCCCGCTTTTCAAAGGCTCAGGGAGCTCAATAATTGAGGGATAGAAGGAGAGAACCCTAAAAGGAACCCTGAACTTTATTCCCCTCCTTAGGGTTTAAGGCTTAGGGTTTAAGGTTTAGGGTTATATATTTCTCACCCCTATACAACCTCTACATATACCTTCTCTAGCGCCTATGTACCTCCACATTGTAGCCCCTAAGATCCTTTATGAGGGTCCCTCCTTCAGTCCCTTGAAGTGTAAGTCAGGTCATAAGTGGGTTCAGGGTTTAGGCATAAGGTTTAGGTTTTAAGGTTTAGGGTGTGAAGGGCCATTGGTTCAGAGGTGATCGTCCCCTGTACCGTGCAAACCTCGCTAGTTTTTTTTCATTTTTTAATCTTTTTAAATGGCACTTAGGGGATGAGGTGGATATTTCCCTAAACCCTAAACCCTTAACCCTTTTTCAGGGACTGTGTAGGGCACCAAGCTCCTGGATTCCCAAACTAAAAAGCAATAGGAAACAGCTGCCATGGAATCCTTGGCACACTCACGTGTAGCATGCAGAGCATGAGCAGAATCATATAGGCCTGCTGCTCTCAACCCCAATCACGAGACGGGGGCTTCGAATTTTCACAGTTTCGAGGTGCTTGGGGATTAATTAGGCCGTTTTAAAAAAGTGGGGCGCGCTCTTCGTTTGCTAGGCCGTTTTGCCAGAAGGGCTTTGGTGTTTAGGTTCAGGGTGCAGGTCTACTGGAGAAGCCTGAGAACTCACTGGCAAGCTTGGTAACGAGCCGAGCTGGCAGGGTTTACGGCTTCGTACCACCAACGTCGTAGTGGCCTAGCACACCTTCCATGTCAAGAGCATTCCGACGCGCCAAGCCCCAAACCCTAACCTCTCGCTGCCCCCAACCGTGTGGTCACCAATTGTGGACTACCGGAAGCCCTAAACCTTAAACTCTTAAACCTTAAACCCTAAACCCCTAAACCCTAAACCCTAAACCCTAAACCCCAAACCCTGCAACCTCCCAGTCTGCATCCAATGCCCCCTACAGCTAACTTAACTTCCTAGCTCCTAAGTAGGGAATTTGGGACCTGGACAATCCCTTGAAGGGTCATAAAGGGGCCCTTTTTAAAGGGGTGTATGTATACACAGTACCTGGTGTCCACAAAATTGTCTGAACCCTAAACCCTAAACCCTAAACCCTAAACCCTGAACCCTGAACCCTGAACCCTGAACCCTGAACCCTGAACCCTGAACCCTGAACCCTGAACCCTGAACCCTGAACCCTGAACCCTGAACCCTAAACCAAACCTGAACCGTTTGAATTCTTAAGGAACCGTTTGAATTCTTAAAACCCCTTGAAAAACCTAGAAAGCCCCAAGCAAGCCTCACAAGAAGACCACGAATCACAAAAAGCATCGGAAACCTATAACGCCCGAAGCCCTAAGCCCCAAACCCAAACCCCGAGCCCCAAGCCCTCAGCCCTAAGCCGTAAACCTCAAACCCTAAACCCTCTGCACTGGACTCTACAACCCTAAACCCTAAACCCTAAACCCTGAACCCTAAACCCTAAACCCTAAACGCCAAACCCCAAACCCTAAACCCCAAACCCTAAACCCTAAGCCCTAAACCCCAAACCCTAAACCCTCAAAACAAGACACTGCGGAAAGCGCGAGCCTGGGCCTGGATGTCTCTAGAGACCCGTAAGGCGCCACCTCCCAAAAGGAGGGTTTAGGGTTCAGGTTGTTTAGGGTTTAGGGTTTAGGGTTTAGGGTTTAGGGTTTAGGGTTTAGGGTTTAGGGTTTAGGGTTTAGGGTTTAGGGCTAGGGTTTAGGCTTTAGGCTTTAGGCTTTAGGCTTTAGGCTTTAGGCTTTAGGCTTTAGGCTTTAGGCTTTAGGCTTTAGGCTTTAGGCTTTAGGCTTTAGGCTTTAGGCTTTAGGCTTTAGGCTTCAGGGTTTAGGGTTTAGGGTGTAGGGTATAGGGTTTAGGGTTTAGGGCTTAGGGTTTAGGGTTTAGGGTTTAGGGTTTTGGGTATAGGGTTTAGGGTTTCGGGCTTAGGGTTTAGGGCTTAGGGTTTAGGGTTTACGGTTTAGGGCTTAAGGGTTTAGGGTTTAGGGTTTAGCGTTTAGGGTTTAGGGTTTATAGAGACCTCGAGCCCTTGAAGTCCCAACATCCTTACACACTAAACCCTAAACTCGTAAGCCCTACTTGCCAGCTCTTAATTAGGAATTTGGGAATGGGTTTAGGGTTTAGGGTTTAGGGTTTAGGGTTTAGGGTTTAGGGTTTAGGGTTTAGGGTTTAGGGTTTAGGGTTTAGGGTTTAGGGTTTAGGGTTTAGGGTTTAGGGTTTAGGGTGCAGGGTTTAGGGTTTGGTTTAGGGTTTAGGGTTAGGGTTTAGGGTTTAGGGTTTAGGGTTTGGGTTTAGGGTTTAGGGTTTAGGGTTTAGGGTTTGGGGTTGGGTTTAGGTTTAGGGTTTAGGGTTTAGGGTTTAGGGTTTTAGGGTTTAGGGGTTTAGGGTTTAGGGGTTTAGGGTTTAAGGTTTAGGGTTTAGGGTTTAGGGTTGGGGTTTGGGTTTTGGGGTTTGGGGTTTGGGGTTTTAGGGTTTAGGGTTAGGGTTTGGGGTTTGGGGTTTGGGGTTTTAGGGTTTAGGGTTTAGGGTTTCGGGGGGGCGGGGGTTTGGGGTTTGGGTTTAGGGTTTAGGGCCCGACCCTGGCGGCGTGTTGGATGGTTTTTGAGGAGGTGAAACCTCCCTCTTTCCCTCCTTACCCCCCAAAACCCAAAAAAAAGGGGTAGGGGGGGGGGGTGCACAATTTTTCATAAAGCACCCGCACAGCGTGAAACAGGCAGTTCAGCACAAATCCCCACTTCGCCACCCCCCCCCCACTTCCCCCCTACCCCCCCACCCCCCCCCCCCCACCCCCCCCCCCCACCCCCCGCGACTGCCCTCCCCCCACTTTCCCCCCCCCCCCCCCACCCCCTACCCCCCCTCCCCCCCCCCTCTCCCCCCCCCCCTCCCCCCCCCCCCTCCCCCCCCCCCCAACCCCCCCCTTGCTTTCTGGCTGCCTTCTGGGTCCTGGTGCCCACCCCCCCCCCCCAACACCCCACAGGAACTCTGCCAAGCAGGCTGGGATGATCTTCGAACCATGCGATGAGGAAAGCATCCTTTGAGCCGACGAGTGGGTTTAGACCTTTCAACTATGCTCCAGCCGGGGTCGGCGGCTTGACCCAAAGGCTCTTAAATTTAGGGTTTAGGGTTTAGGGTTTAGGGTTTAGGGTTTAGGGTTTAGGGTTTAGGGTTTAGGGTTTAGGGTTTAGGGTTTAGGGTTTAGGGTTTAGGGTTTAGGGTTTAGGGTTTAGGGTTTGGCAGCTTCCCCCCGCCTCTACACAAGCCTTTAAGGAGTCTGTTAGCCCTCCCTAATCTCCGACATCGAGAACCAGCAAGCCTAGTACATATGTCCGAAACCCTAAATCCTAAATCCTAAATCCTAAACCCTAAACCCTAAACCCTAAACCCTAAACCCTAAACCCTAAACCCTAAACCCTAAACCCTAAACCCTAAACCCGAAGCAGTGTTCGAAGCACCCCAAAAATGGGGCGATCGTACGTTTCGTGCGCCTTGGGGTCCGGAAGAGGGCTGCAGGCTCTAGGGATTAGGGTTTAGGGTTTAGGGTTTATTTTCCAGGCAGAGGTTGTGGCAGAAGAGAAGGAAAGGCAGAATTAATACTGGGAAGGCGACCCGTTCTTGGTAGCCCAGTAACCACATTATAAGAAGATGTACACTTTTTTGGGGTTAGCTACTTGATGAGGGAGCCTTGAATCAAAAAAGGGAAAAGGGTACCACTGGGCTACCAAGCTTTACATCATGCTTGCAGACATTTCACCCTCAAACAGCCAAAGGCCCGACATAAAAATAAAAAACCTTATCCTCAACGCTGCCCCCCTATTACGTACCTAAACCCTAAACCCTAAACTCTCAACCCTAAACCCCAGACTCTAAACTGTCAACAAGCAAGTGTTGGCTTGCGCTCTGGTGTTCCAGGGGCGGGCGGGCGGGATTCCATGGACTTTTTTGCATCTCCCACAAGGGGGGATGCTTGGGCCTTGAACCCTAAACCTTAAACACTAAAGCCTAAACCCTAAACCCCAAACCCTCAACACTGAATCCGAACCCTAAGCCTACACCCTAAACCCTGAACCCTTAAAATCGCAAGCCTAATTCCAAAACCGTAAGCCCTAAACCCTTCAACCGTTTAGGTTTAAGTAGTAGAGTAGGATTCCGATCTTGGGTCGCAGGGTAACTACGTAATCCTTAGCATAAACCCTTAAAAGGGTACCCCTTAAACATCCCCCATATGCTCTATACAAATTAACAGCCCATGCATCAAAACCCTTTCAAGGAGGTTAGGGACCATATTACGGGCCCACGCAGCTACCCCGGACCCAAACCCTAAACCCTAAACCCTAAACCCTAAACCCTAAACCCTAAACCCTTAACCTATAAAAATTAGCGGCCCATGTAGCTACCCATTAATTGGGGCTGGCGCTTAGGGCGTAGGATCGCGATGTTGGGCTTCGGGTTTACGCGTGTAGGGCAGGCTGCCGGGGTTAAGTTTTAGAATTAAGGAACGCCTGATATTGTAGGACTCAAGATTTGGGGTTTAGGGTTTAGGGTTTAGGGTTTAGGGTTTAGGGTTTAGGGTTTAGGGTTTAGGGTTTAGGGTTTAGGGTTTAGGGTCTAGGGTTTAGGGTTTGCACCCTGAAAGCGCTGCCTTCTTCGTGCTGATAGGTATTCACCAGCGACGGGATGAAGGTGGAAAGAAAAGGGCAAACAGCAGCCTGGTCTCAGCGCTTGGCTTAGGGCCATGAATCTGAAGCCTGGACCCTGCACCCGAAAGCCTGAACACCCGGTTTAGGGTTTAGGGTTTAGGGTTTAGGGGTTAGGGCTTAGGGCTTAGGGCTTAGGGCTTAGGGTTTAGGGTTTAGGGTTTAGGGTTTAGGGTTGCCCACAACCCCAAACCTAAACCCTACGCCCATAACCCTAATAACCCTCAACCTAAACCCTCGTGGGTTGTTCTTGGGGGAGGTCACGATCTCGGCTTCAAAGCTTCGTCTTGCAAGACTGTATGACGCCCTGACCCCTATAATGTGGTTGCATGATGGTTTAGGGCTTGGGGTGCGGCCCGGGGCGACTTCAGCTGCTGCCCCAAACTTTCTCAAAAACCCTAAACCCGAAACCCTAAACCCTAACCCCGAAACCCTAAACCCTTACACCCGAGACCTAGGCGCCTAACTCCGCGAAACCCTAAACCCTAGACCCTAAACCCTAGACCCTAAACCCCAAACCCTACACCCTAAACCCCAAACCGTAAACCCTAAACCCCAAACCCTAAACCCTAAACCCCGGTCCGGTTGCGCCAGGCGGCCAATCCAGCTGCGGCCAAGTACTGTAGCAGGAGGGTATTGTCCTTTAGTTTGCCTCAGCAGGTTTGTAGGCTTGAGGGTTCAAGGGTTAAGGGTTTCAGGGATTAGGGTTTAGGGTTAGGGCTTAGGTTTAACAAGTAGTGTGGTCGTTGCATTCTATGTGCGGGGCTTAGGGATTACGGTGAGTTTCAGGGTAAACTTGAGTGCACAAGTACTTCTGCGTCCTGACACATGAACCTGAAACCGGGATGCAGACCAAAGGAGCTTGAGCAAGAGCAAGGACCCTAAACCTTAAACCTTGAACCGTAAACCCTCTAACTACCCTGAGACCCCATTTGGACCCCTCAACCTTTCAAACATTTTGGGCGGACCCACTTTAGTATTTAGGATTTAGGGTCCAGGGTTTAGGGTTTAGGGCCATTTCTGCCATCAA